GAAAAAGAAAATCAATCATCTATTTTACCTCTAGTATATCACAATAAATATTTTCTTCTTGCTTTATTGCTTTTGTTATGCTAGCTAATCGTTAAACGAAATTGAATGATGCGATATATAGAAGTATATGGATGAGGTTTTTAATTTTCCAAAAAAAAATCTTCTTTTTTCTGCTTCATGTTTAAATACGCGAAATGATTGCTCAAGATTCTTTCTAAACCATTTAACATGATAGATTGAAATATAACTGGAGTCTTTTTTTGTCTCTTAATCAATAGTTCAAACAACATGGTCATACAGATACAGCATTAGATCGTCGTACAGCGACAACAACTGGTCAAATGCTCTATCAAATCATTGATCCTAGACCAGCACATGTGAACTACATAGATAATTCACCACCGACACCACCACCTCCTTCCGTCATTGCTGCTAATCGACGACGTGAAGTTAGTAGTAGATTTACTTGACAAAAACTTTGAAGATTATTTCATGAATATTTTCATAGACTTATAGCAATCGTTTCTCGGAACATGACAATCGAAATATTATACAAAATTATGGAGAATATTTTGGTCGAGTAAATAAAATTTAGATATAATACTTGTATTTTGTCTTTTATCTCAGGGTTATGGTAAACGTTTGCCATCTGAATCAGCAAAACATCGTCAAGATTGGAGTCTTTCACATGATCCACTTCCTGTTCATCCTGATCGAAGTGTAACACAACGTGATTATCGTGGTTTACCTGCACTTGAAAACCAACGATTCACATCATCATCTTTATTATCAACAAATCGTAAAAAGTCAAGTGTTCATTGGATGACAAGTTGCTATGATGATTATGGACGAAGTGTTGAACGTGTACCAAATGAATTGATCTATCTTGATGATTATAAACGAATGCCTATTCATCCATGGCATTATTAAAAAACATTGACTTCTCTATATTGTTTTTACATTCCTATGATATAATAACATATAAAGACTTTCACCCTTCTCAGAATAGAATCTAGTTAAATTGCACATAAAGTATATATATACACACACTAATAGATAAATACACTTTTATTCTAATTGATTGATAAATGAACAATATAGATAAAGAGCAAAAATAGAATATTATTATCAATCAGTAAGTCACTTTGGTAAATAGAAAAGGGTGGATCATTTTATAAAGCCAATCAAGTTGCTATGGCAGTTGATAACTTGATTCTAGTATTATTTATAGTGATGGATAGGCTTTCGCATTATTTCAATCTTTTATTTTGACTTCATACTATATAATATATATTCACTTAAAAGTTCTGTGATTACTGGAAAAGACATGATGATGTTTGAAGCGATGCCAAAAAGAAACGGATGTAAAATCGTTAATGAAGTTCAACATTGGGACATGAGAAAGGCACTAGAAGAAGAAAAATGGAGAAGAAAATCGTTGTTGGAAGCATAATTTAGAGACACGAGAATTTTCTGTTTCCCTCTGTGTCTCTTTATCGCTTTCTTCTCGATGCGCTTCATCGCCAGCAGCATCAATATCTTTAGTTATTTTGTGCCAATGCTGTCGTCAAATAAGAGAGAGAGACAGAGAAAAAGAGAAGAAAATATTAGGACAATGAGTTTTCTATGCATGTTGTGCTCTCTCAATTCTATCTTTGCTTTCTATGATATCTCTTTATAGGAGAAAACCGAGTGGAAACGATCCTATAAACACAATGGTTAGAAGTGCATACGAAGAGCATAAGCTAAAAACGACCATCATTGACTTATTAAAAGTTGAAAGATGAATAATAGTCATTACAATGCATAAAACTTCTATAGAAAACGTATGGGAACTCCAGTAACCATTCAAATTGCTGCTGCTTCAAATTATAATGAACAGTAAGTTTTTGATTTGATTCGATTTCTTAAAGATCAATTTCTTTATTTTTGATCTCAGATTTTGTTTCTTTATTAAAATAATAATCTAATCGTTGTCTTTTGTCATGCATGAGGTATTGAATAGCTAATTGTGCATAAAAGTATATTAATTAATTCATGCATAAATATATATTACAATAGTTGATAATTAACAAACGGATATTAAATAGTTTTAATTTGAATAATCTATTTTTACCAGTGATTCAATGAGAAGTAAGACGGTTATTTAATATTAAAATTCATTCATTTCCTTAGTTTTTCTTTTATATATATGTGTCAAAGATGCAACATGTTGATAAACTCTCAAGAGATTTACACTCTATTAATGAAGAATATTTTGATGTTCTTTTAAAGATATCATTGCAAATGACATGTGTAGACTATAGAATAAAATCGTCTATGCATAAAATACTAGAATATTTTGCTTTATTAAATAAAATTTACATGCATTAAACACACATACACATAATATATATCTATCGATAAAGTGAAATGTATTACAAGAATCTAGTTTTTTTGTTGTTTATATTAGAGAAAAAATGTCTTTTAAAAAGAAAATTAATTTTTCATTTTTTAATTAAATTTTTTTTTCTGTTGGGAAAAAAATTTTTTAATCATCCCTGCAGAACATGTTCTATTCGTCTATGACAGTTAAACTTATTTCAAATGTCAAATTCAAGCAATATATAATGAAAAATCTTTTCCGAGTCTTTTCTCAATATTCAACGTTTGTATTGACATTATAATGAAGAAAAAAAAGTTCAATATTTTCTTATGTAATAACCTTTTAAATTCTTGAATGAATTGATAAGAAACCTTGAAAATGTAATTATATTAATAAAAGACTAAACGTTCATAGGTTTTTTTTTGCTTCTATGAAATGATTGTATATTATTATTATTATTATTATTATTATTTGTAGTGATACACAATCATCACTACGTCGTCAAGCAAATGAACGTCGTGATCATGATAATGCTTTATTGATCAATTATGATGGTTCAATAGGTAGTCAACAAGTTAAATGCGGTGGTGGTAGTCAATTGTTGTAAGTATATTATTTAAGATAAATGTCGTTTATATGCGTGTAATACCGATATTTGTCATTTATTTAAACAGTTGTTATTTTGTAAAGGAACAAAGTATCATATTTGTCAAGGTTATTTAATTGTTTGCAAAAAGAATCATTGAATTACACACTCGTGAATCAATCTCATCAGTTTTTTTTTCTATGCTGTTTTTTTTCTATTGTTGTTATTATTCCTGAGTTTGTCTTCAATGCGCGACCAATATATTCTCTGTGACAACATTATGTTTGTAGCAAAGACCAAGAAAGAGAAAAAAAGAAAAAGAAGAAGGGGAAAATCGAGCTAACAGTTTTTTCCTAGCTGACTAACAACACTAGCTCACTAGAAATATACAAGAATAGTATACGTAATGTTAATACCCTCTGGCATCGATTCGTCGTCGCGCTCAATGAAATTTTCGACACGACACGCGTACACATTTCTCGCTCGCTCTGACTAGATGGAAAAGGGGGCTTTGTGCAACATAGAATTTGAAGAATGCAAGAGAGAATTAGAGAAGAAGAAAAAGAGAATGAGTATATATGTGAGCGCATGTTCATCATCAGCTATGAATACTTCTCCGCGGTCTTTCCTCTTCGTCTTCTCGACTATGCAATGAGGAAAAACGAGGCCATTGCAACTGGCATTAAAAGAAAATGGAGAGTATAATAACTGTTGCCATTTTTGGAAAGCAAACAAGAGACAAAACATTACGAGTTTTGATATATATTTATGACAATGGAATATATATATATGATAATGAACAATAATCAGTAACAAATGATAATCTACTTTTCTTATAAGTACAAATAAAATTCTCGAGTATTTTAACTAACATATCCAAATAAATCTGCCAAGATGACGATGGCAACGATCTGGCAACCGGTGTCGATGAATGATCATCCCATGTAAGTATATAAAAAAAAACTTATCTGTTTGAAGTAGAAAAGAATCTCTAGACTATCTATCGAAATATATGTATATTGATTGAAAAACTATTGGAAATATATCGTTTATATTAACTCGTTCATTATTTATTTGTCAGACATTCACTCATCCATCCATCTATCTATCCATCTGTCAAATAGATTGCTTTTCTATCTTTTCTTTTCTTTTCTCAGTTAATATAGAGTTTCTGGCGTGCAATAGACCTATTGACATGCCGGTATTTTTTATAATACCAGAACAAAAACAAATCAGTAAAGATATATATGTATATATAGTTACTCAAAAGTCTTTAATACATTCTATTTTCCAGTCTATCAAATAGTTATTATCAATAGTAGAGTAGCAATTGGATCGGATACTGGGGGTTTCTTATAGATATTCAGAAATAAAATAGAAAGATGGCTATGGCAGCTGCTGTTTCGGTCTGGCAGCCAACATTGACCGCTGCTATACTATTTAGTGATTCAACGTAAGTAAGATTCGAAGAAAAAAAAGTATTTTATAATAAATTTTCTGAACGTCAGACGTTTTTTTTTATGTAAATATATATATATGTCGATCAAAGAAAACAAAACAGAAAATCAGCCATTATTTTCCCGCTTAAAGAAAACAGTAAGCTCTATATGTGTGTGTGTGTGTGTATATAGATATATCGGTTGCTTATGACGGAAGATAAATATATATATATATATATGTCAACATCATAAGTCATTTGTATTTTAAATATCTTTCTCAAGGACAATGAATTCGAAATTAGTTTTTTTCCCATTTAATCATAATATTAATTTGATTAATGATTAAATATATAACGAATGAGAAATTCTTTCTTAAGAATTCTATGATATATAATATAAAATGATCTTTTTTATTATATATATTGAAATTAAATAGACGTTCGACTTATTACTTTTGTCATAATGGTAAGTCAAGCAACGATGTTATTCGTTTGAGAACATGAGAAGACAAGCAAGTAAGAAAGAAGGAAAGAAAGAAAGAAAGAAAAGCGAATAGACATGTTGCAAGTTGTAAAGCAATACGAAGGTCGTATATGATGACGGAAAAATGAGGTTGATGATGGACAAACTATTCTGGCATTAACTTAGGTGATAGTGCTGGCTTCTGTTCTTTTTTGATGTTGACGTCAGTGGACTATCCAGAATTGGCATAAGCTTACGACTACTGTAGTACCATCTCATATTACACATTCATTGCAATTTCTAGTAGCTTTCTCTTCGTATTCTATTTTTCCATCATTTTCTGCTTTTCTATTTTTATTTATGTATGTTGTTGTTAGTGTTTGTATGTATGAATGTGGTACCATTAGCGAACGTCATCTTTATATACACTTCGATTTTCCTTATTTTCTAACTTGCTATGTTCCCGGTGACTATTGATATCATCTATCTTCTTCTTCGTCTTCGTCTTCTCCTTCTTCTTCTTCTTCTTCTTCTTCTTCTTCTTATTTAAGACAAGTATCATTAAGATACGTCGCCTGATAGTGTATACATTTAAATAAATCTCATTAATAATGATTCTTACTGATCGTTCTCTGTAAGTTAAATTAGTCAATTGATTTTATTTCATTGTCTTATTTTCTTCTTTTCGTATATAATCTATTTTATAAAGTGGTCATGAAACTGCACGTCGTCGTGGAGTTGATTTTATAAGTGATCAATCATCAATGCCGGGTCGATCAGGTCGGCATCAGTCTGTTGTTACTCATGGTACAATTCTCGATTCATTGAGTAATACAGCCGGTTCTTTGTCATTTGATGATGACCAAAATAGATTATCTGTTGTCAGTTGTCTTGTACCTGCTAGCGTAAATGTTGCTGCAAGGTGAGAAAGAATTTTGTATTTATTAAATGATGAATGAATTTATACATATACATATTATTATTATTGGTATTTAAACTATGTTTAAGTTATAATCTTATATTTAGATTCTTTGAATAAAAATTTGTATGTTTCATAGTAATGTATTGTTTTTAATTAAATAGATAATAGAAAATCTTTTTGATTTATGAACAGAAATACCCTAAAAAAAGAATAAAATATTCGTATTATGAAATGATTTAGAAACAGATTTATTTAAGATCTGATCGTTCATTTTTTTTTTGAACAATTATATAATAATAGATTATTTACTTCTTAAAATATTTTCTATTGAATATATATTATAATATCTGTATATTCAATTACGATCTATTAATTGAAAGAACTTACGAGTAAGTTTCAGAAATCAATAGTTTTAATTCTTATCTATGAAGAACACTAATGAGTTAATACTCTAAGCAAATTAATTAATTGTAATAAACGACTGATTTACGATAGATAATAGTATTCTCTTGAGTCATATATATATACACAGATCATAAAATCGTCTGATTAGCCTAACTGATAATGATAAAACATAGAACTAGAATGTATGTATTCTTTAAAGAAATTGTTCGTCAATTGAATAACTAACGTTACTTTGTACTAAATCAAGAGTATAAATTCTACTTTAATTCAATTTTGTAGTAGATTAGATATGTAAACTAATCATAAATGCACTAAATATGACCTTATGTTTGGTATTGAGAGAAGGAGAGAGGGAGAGAGAGAGAGAAAAGAAAATGAAGCTTTTTTTTTTCTTTATTACACAGATGCGCATTTGTATGTCCTTGTTTAAATAACGTTGTTGTCATCGTTTATCCACTCTTAGTCTTATCATTAGAAATTATAGATGTGGAAATAATTGGAACTAAACGATAGATAGATAAAGAGTAATAAAAAAAAAACACTAAATTTTCTCCTAATTTATCTATCTTTGATATAATTTCTACTACAATTGCGACAGAATAAAAAACAAAAAATTGCCATAAATAAATATATACAATGTATAGGTTGATTAATCATTTGCTTTCTTTCTTTATTACTCAACATCTGTATATTGGATAGACAAACTAAATGACACAAGTCGTTGATAGTTGTCTAGTACAATTCTTTTCTCTATCATTTGCATCTATGCATGCAACAATGAGAAGAAATTTAGTGGTGGTGGTGATATTGCTGCTGCTTCAAGCGGCAAAACCATCACACATGTTACTATTGCTAGTGTCTTACAGTACATTTTGTCTTAAGAAATACATTTAAAACAACCCATTATTCATGTTGTGAGTAATTTAATTCTAATAATATAAATAATTCTTCTATGTGTTTTGAAAAACTGAAAAAATAATAATTTATATTAAATTTAGGGCATTCTCTCGACCACTCGATGAAGAGTTAACAGTAGAAGAACAATTACAAGCATCAAAACATCCTGATTATGAATCAACTGAACGTGTTGTTATAAATGTATCAGGATTAAAATTTGAAACACAATTACAAACATTAAATAATTTTCCTCGTACACTTTTGGGTAATCCTTCACGACGTGTTCGTTATTTCGATCCATTACGTAATGAATATTTTTTTGATCGAAATCGACCAAGTTTCGATGCTATTCTTTATTATTATCAATCTGGTGGTCGACTTCGACGACCAAATCATGTCCCAATTGGTAAGTAGAAAGAAAAGATTTTTGTTATTTTGTTTTCCATAGGAAATTTAATTATTTTTCTGTTATTATTATTATTCTAGATGTATTTACCGAAGAGATTAAATTTTTTGAATTAGGTGAAGATGCATTTAATAAATTTCGTGAAGATGAAGGTTTTATTAAAGAAGAAGAACGTATATTACCAAAACCAGAAGTACAACGTAAAATCTGGCTATTATTCGAATATCCTGAAACATCCAATTGGGCACGTGTTATTGCTATTATTTCTGTCACAGTTATTCTCATGTCAATTGTCATATTTTGTCTGGGTAAGAATAAATTGATTAAAAAACAAAACAAAAAGAAATCATTAGGATCTTCATTATGAAATAGTTAATATTCATTATAGATGTAATCTATTGATAATGAGAAACTATCATCAGATCATTTTGAGAAGATAATACTAAATAGTTTTTTTTGTTTTTTACTCATTAACTAATGTTTATGCATCAATGATACGTACTTGAATTAAAATTCTAAAAATAAAATTTTTCTTGTTATATTTAGAAACACTTCCTAATTTTAAACGTTATCGTGTTCGACCAGCTGATAATACAACATATGATTCTTCTCGATTAACGATTGAAGAAGATGATATACCTGAATTAACAGAACCATTTTTTATTATTGAAACATGTTGTATTGTATGGTTTTCCTTTGAACTTATTGTTCGTCTATTATCATGTCCATTGAAACTTGTCTTTCTTAAATCTATGATGAACATTATTGATATCGTTGCTATTATGCCCTATTTTATTACATTATTTACCATCTTAGCTGAAGAAAAAACAAAATCAAATCAAGCTATGTCATTAGCTATATTACGTGTTATACGTCTCGTTCGAGTTTTTCGTATATTTAAATTATCAAGACATTCAAAAGGTTTACAAATTCTAGGTCAAACATTACGTGCAAGTATGCAAGAATTAGCACTACTAGTATTTTTTCTATTTATTGGTGTCATATTATTTTCTTCTGCGGTTTATTTTGCTGAACAAAGTGAACCGGAATCATTTTTTAAATCTATACCAGATGCATTCTGGTGGGCAATGATAACAATGACAACAGTAAGTTATTCTTAATTTAAATAGAAAAACAGAATAATCATAATTTCTCTAGGTTGGATATGGAGATATGCGTCCAGTTGGTATATTTGGTAAAATTGTTGGTTCAATGTGTGCTATTGCAGGTGTATTAACAATAGCCTTACCTGTACCTGTTATTGTATCGAATTTTAATTATTTTTATCATCGAGATATTGATTCTGAAGAACAAAAAGATATCAAATATACAAGTGCTACTGGTAATTCCAATCCACCAGGTGGTGATATCAATAATGAATTATTTGCATTAACAATGTCAACAAGTGTTGGAGGACAAAAGAAAAAATCTGTTTCATCATCGGATACTTGTCATCATTTAGATGAATCCGATGCATTTCTACATTCGTATTGCACGGGTGACGATCCAATATTTCGTTCACCAACTGCTAATCATAGAAATAGTAGAACGTCACCAACACAACAGCTAATACAACGAAAAACTTCATCAATGAATAATAATTTAACTTCATCGAATGAACCACTTAATGTTGAAACAGACGTGTAATCTTATTATTATCCGTCCACCCGGTCTTCTATGTCTAGTCAAACCCTTCGTTTTATTCTCATCAGTATTAATCAATCCGTTTATTCGTTCGATTAAATAATGTGTTCAGATAGATTTTATTCGTTCGAATATGATTAAAATTGAGATAAATATAAAGAATTTATATTAAAGTTCTTTTTCTTCTTTTCTTTCTCTTTATTTTTAAAATAAAATCTTATCAATAAATGAACAGAAGAGTTAGCCCCGTGTTTCATTTTTTTTGTAAAATGGTTTTTTTTCTTTCTTTCTTTCTTTCTTTCTTTCTTTCGTGTAACAGAACATTATCATTATTTTGTTTTTCTCTTATGTATATTTATGAACGTCATTCGTACATTTGTTCTCCGATAAAATTATAAAATCAATGAAAAAAAAAATGAATGATTGATTGATTGTAGTTTTGATAATTGTACATGAAATACAATCTAAGAAAATATGTTTCTTTTTTTCAATAATGTCAAAAAAACGTATTATCAATATCATATATGATTTTATCTGATCTAATTATTATTATATCTATCTAGAAAATCGAATTGCTTTTTCTTCGCTACAAAAAAATAAAGAAATGCAATAATATCGATCCCATTTATCTGAACGCAAATCAAGCAATGTGGCAGATGGTTATTTTCCCATGGCGTCGTGATCAGATTTATTCTTATTATAGGAATAATTCTCAATATAATTTTCTTTTCGTAAATTAAATCATATATATGTCTATAAGAATATTGTAGTTAATCGATAAAAAACTTATTAAGTTACTGTTAGAAAGTTCGGTGACAGATATAGGACATTTATGTCGTGAGAAATTTGCTTATAATGGTACCATAATATGTTTTACATAGTGTAATATATTGATCGTATCTCTTTATAACTGTCTAGAGATGAGTATAATGATTTACGGTCTCTTAAATACTCATTAACTGTTTTGTATAGACCACGAACATTTATGTATGGTATTTATTGTTATAAAGGTCGTATAGATATATTAGCGTATTATTTGCCTATGTAAAAACGTCAAAATAGCATTGTTTACAGATGTTATATTCTTATCATTAGATCAATTCATCTTGTTATATGATTTATCCGCCTAGAAAAGCTAATTCTCATATACATGAAGGATAGACTTGTTGTTTTTCGCAGTATTATTTGTGAATACTACGTCGCACTCTACAAGTTTAATTAAAAATCATCGCAACTAATTTTTTTCTGTTCATTAGTCATATAAATATTTAGAAATTATCTTTCGATCTAGTTAATTATAATTTTTTTTTTGTTTTAAATATTATTAATTAATTTAATTAGTTAATCAATGTCATAAATCTAATCTAATTCAATAAGCAAACTTTCTATATAAACCATTAGTATATTAATTGAATTTCATAAGGTAATTAATAATTGTGAACTTCATATATGAATGTATTCATGCACAATAGATTATCACGTTTATTTACAAAGAAAAAATTTTAATTCTCATCATATTGCTCATATTCTTCATTTGTAAATTTGTCTAATCGTTTAACACCAATTTCATCGAGAACTTCACGTGGAAATTCATCACGATATTTTGCGATGCATTTCAAACAAAATCTTCTCGTATAGAATAAACTGCAATCTAAATGAACACACACTGGACTTGAACATACAGAACATGTTGAACCAATAATTACTGATGAGATTTTTGTTTGATCATCTTTATTTTTAATAGCAACAAATGGATCCCGAAGTAAATAGACTTGTTCAAGTAGATTGACTGTTATTGATGGTTCTTTTTTTTT